TCGATGCTACATTTGGTGATATGTTTAAAGATGTTTCATCAGATTCTTTTATCTGTTTAATCTTACTTCAATGGTGTTTACTACTAACATAATACTAATAACTGGTAATATCTTTATATTACTTTCTTAGAGAGTTATTGTATCGACTAGTAATTAATCCTAATTACATCGTATTTAATGCACATAAGTACATATTCATCGATAAGGATACAAGTATCGCCATTAACAAATAGCTACAGTGCTCCTCTCTAAAATGTAATATTGCACTTCCGGCCGTTTTGTATAGTTGAATTAGACTCTGTGATGGCAATGAATATAATTGTTTGATAAGAACTACGTATATATTAGAAATGCGAAGTATATAAGGTTCCTGACATCATTGCTAAATCATTATGTCAATCACGTAGCGGCTTCGGTTACTTAAGATTCTTTAACTACCTCTAAATGTCGCAATTGCAAGATTCTTAACCGAGCAGACAGCAATTGAACATTTACCCGTTTGACGAACTTTTAAACGCGTAACGTTTGATTCGTGTTTAATTAGTCTAGATGTAAACTAAATGCTTAACAATAACATACTGGTCGGAAACATATCACCGGACAAGCCGAAGGATGATTCTACGGTATCGTTTAAAGATTCATTTACGTTTATCGATGGCAATTTACTTTTGATTTTATTTGCTACTTAGTTGCGTGAACGGAATCTTCGAAATCAGCTAATTTCGTTGAACTTCTTAGAAAACAGGACAGAAATAGAAAATGGGAAACATAGTCTCCAAGAGGATGAAGAATCGATGCGTCAAAGTGACGAGACAGTTAGGATTGTCCCGAAATGCAGTTATAGCTGAAATTTCAATTACCATCGTAAATTTAGAATATATTTAAATACGTCATTCATATCAATTATAGGAGAATGTTTGCAACTCGATGATCAATGTAAATGAAACAAAAATAAGAACAAAGTATATTTCTTCATTAAAACGTTGATAACCATTAATAATCTCAGTACAAACGTAAAAAAGATTGAACAGAAAAGATGGATGGACAAAGGAGAAGAAAATGAGTAAGAAAGTGGACATTTTACTTTCAACAATATAATGGACAGTCAGTTCTCAGTTGGATTAAAAATAATGTGACGATTTCGCTAAAAAAATTGCAAGGCATTAATGTTTCACAAAAGTAGATAAAAGCGTTAGGGACAGTATCTACACTCCGGGATCATGAATAATTCAATTGCCATTCGCATAATTGATCATGCAACTACTAGCAGTAAGATGAAAAGTCCGGTGGCAGTGTAATGCCGTTGTAGCCATTGCAAGTATATTCGTAATTGAGGGTTCGAGAATGCAGAAATTAAATATTCATCGGCGAAGGGAAATCGTGTGTCCTCGCATCCGTCTAGAAAAAAAAATTATATCCTCGAGCCGCCGAATGCATAATTGATGCGCGAATCATGCGAGCAACAAGGAGGCTCGTTAATATTTCATACTTTTATTATTTCTTCACTAATATTCTATTCTGTTACCATGGTTTTCGTACTTTTCGTGTATCATTCCCGCTCTCCTTTCCTTCATTTCTTTCTGGTTTGACGAGGGGTCGTAATTTCCTTTGAATCTATTGAGGCTCGGTTTAGTGCAAGGGAATGGGGTCTGCCGGATGCAATAAACCGAGAAATGTGTAAATTGTATACAGATAATGCGTCGTTAGTCCAATTACATCCGAGATACCCTTTTTTTTATTCTGCAAAGGAATAAGATGATTGTTTATGTATTTTATTGATACCATTTATTCTGTATTGTATAGAGTACCTGAGTACGCCTTGACATCAGGTTTTACCGTTTTCTTGAATTTTAATGGGGTTCCTATGTTTTGTTTTTCATGTCGTAGAGGACGGAAATGTATCCCCATCGATTTCGTCAAGATCTGAAAACGTAGAAGCGCGTCTCCCAATGGAGAAAAGGATTTCCATGTATTTTAATCGCAAGAAATTTAATTGTTTATGGAACAGGTTTCACATTGAAGACACCCACCTTCGCACGCGAGTGCACCGGCAAGAAAAGATACAATTTATTCACGGTTGCTTACCTCGGAGTAAAGCTGCAAAGTGAAAGAACAAAACTTGCCCGCAGTGATCCGCAATTAGTTTCTCCCGGCACATGATAGTTACGATTGCTCACCAAACATCCATAATGTTAAAATATAAATATTTAGTTCGGGGAATAGAGTAATAAATATTGATAAATTAAGAAATGCAATAAGGACGTATAATAAATGGTTTTGTTGTGAAAAGACATCGAATGATTAAAAGAATTTGTTGGATCCAATACCTTTGCTTTGTAACTACAGTGAGTAGCTGTAATATTTATATAAGTTTTCCAGGATAATTGAATATAATTGTTGAATATGATATTGGCTACAATTTTATTAATCAACTGAATATAAAATGTGTACGAGAAATGTATCGCGTTCGTTGAATGGTGATTACTATTTTGTTTTTTATTAACAAATCATTCTTTCACGGCCAACAATACGGATAAATATCCGGTGGAAGTCTTTAAAATCTGAAAGAATTTTTTATATTTCCGAGATGTCTGTTATTACTTGAAAAATTTTAAACAATTATCGGTTTGTTCGCGAATAAGTCCTGGCTGACTCACAGCGTTGAAGAGTGTGAGAGTGAAGGGACTGAATTTTCCTGCTGTTATTTGAAAAAATATTCTCGTTCGACCCATTATGTTAATCAGTGTGGATGCTTGTTTCGGCGGCAGCTTATACCAAATGGAATCGTACGTTGACTCGGCAATTCCGGTACTCTAGAGTTTAGAATACTATTATATTATACAGGAACTGCATGAAAATATTATTTTTTTCTCAATAAAATGAAAATGCAAATTTATATTTTTATTCTTGTCTTTTTGTAAAAATCTTTGAATTTGCTACCATCAATATTATAGCACGATTGCTTAGCACGTTTATTTTTTATTGTTCATAAAATATTTTTATAAAATGAGTAATAAAATTATAAGTATCTTGAATGCTTACTTCTTCAACAAGAGTTTCACCCATATAACAATATATAAAAAAGTGCATCATCGTGGATACCACGTGCAGAATAAAGAATGTCAAACCAACAACATTCATTTCCTCTGTGGTTTGATCGACAGCCTACAAAACGATTACGCGGCTATCGTTATTTCATTAGGAAAAACTGGTTTCATTCACTTCTCATAGACGTACAGTTAACATACGATATCCTGTCAGACACAACATCACCGTGCAGATTAGGGTTTGCACAAACAATGTCAGACTGAAGCAATCTTTCAGGATCACTGCCAATCTAAAATCCAAAGATTAAAGAAATTAAATTCCCAAAGACCATAATTAGTATCATTAGGCTGCAAACATTTGCATATATTATTTTCACCAGTAATAGTTGTTAGAAAAGTGAACAATTTGCCGATCGCAAATGTATTAATACCAGCATAAATAATCGGTGCAGACCTGTACAACTGATTATGTTTGTACACGATGTACCCGAGTCTCCCTTTGAACTCCATAAAATTAGTTTCGTTGCTCGTGTTCACCAGATTTGCGACGGCCAGTCTAAGAACGGACAACTGTCCGCATAAATGCAGCACGAGGACTGCGAGGAACGTGTCGAAACAAGAATAAGCAACCCCGGCGAGCACGGTGCCTATAAACTGTCCCAGTCAAGTAAGTTCGAAATTGGGACTTTTTTTCGTATTATAAGGAAACATGGCAGGATGTAAGAAGCCCTCCAAATTAGCCTCCGAAGAGTTCTGCATGTTGTTCTAAACTTGCAGCGTGAGGAATGCGAGAAGCATCATCCACACACTCGTGAAGCAGACGATGGATATCATTCGACTTGTCTTGGCGCTCTTTAGCATCGTCTGGCGATACGCTTTTGGCAAAGGCCGTGACCAGTCTTCTAGTATTTGACCGAGCAAGAACGTTAGGGCTGGAACTATAATAATTTACCAAAACAATGAGTCCATGGCGATAGCTGAAAAGATTTTTTCTTTTCTGGAAAATAAGTTGAAAATCAAGAAGCTAAAATTGGTAATAAGACCAGTAATAATAAAGAAGTAGTAATAATAAGAATGATAATAAAAAAATAAGATGATAATGCCTGAATTCCTTCCTATATACTTAATTAATGATTAGTTTATTAGAGGCATTTAACAAATGAGAGAGCAAGAAGTGGCGAATATTTGCTTGGAGTTACCAGTCTTATTGTATCGTAAAACAAGTTGCTTCGCCAAGGCGAAAGCAATGGGCACGTTGATCGACAGATTCTCAATCACCTCGTCCAAATTCGTCGATTTCAGTACCAGTCGCGCGGTTTGCAGCGCGCATATGAACATAAACGACACGATACTCGTGAACCAGAAGACGAAAGACGATATTCGCCGTTTACGATGCGAGATCAGTCTTGGTTCCGGCCACACGCCGAGCAGAGTTAGATTGAATTGACCCCATCCCGTCGCGAAATCCGTTTCTCTGATTGCATTGAAATCAACCTCGTTGCTGAACACTTTTTAATGACTATATTTCATCACCACAACGAAATTCAATCATAAACTCAACTCAACTTCAAACAAAAACGAATACTGGAAATGGATTCTACGAGTCTACGAACCGAAAGCAAATGTCATATAATCTATGAGTATTATAATCAAAAAGAAATATGTTCACGTAGGAAGTAAGTAATATCGAAGAACAATTAACGGTATCAGTATGTTCCAAAACTGCACATCAACGATGCTTTATTTTCCGGAATCATCTCACAGAATTGAACTCGTAGGAATGATTGAGATAGATCAAGAACGCAGTTACGGAAACTATGTCTGTAATGTTAACGATTGCGGTTTACGGCTTCCACGGGTTTATTTTATTCGAATTTCCTCCGAACGGAAATGAATCGACGACTGAACTTCTAGATTGCGCGCAACCCGTTGCCGAGCACGGTCTTCATTACGCATTCCCATCCATCCCTCGAAAACGTTTTCCGATAGGAACTTTTAATAGCCACAATTTGAAAGTTGCCCATGGAAAGACACCCTGTAATCCGAACTCTTTTCGTCTGCCTGACGGATCGAAAGATTCAAAGATCGACGTAGACTCTTCAGGTCATAACGTTCCCGTTGGAAGAAAAAGTTGGGTAGTTTTGTCGGGGAATTTGGTCGTTGCATAGAAATTTGTCTCGATATGAGATATCGTAGATGCGTGCAGATGTGGAACTTTCATAAATGATATTCGTAGAGGTTCTACAACTCTGAGGTTGATCAGTCGTCATTGCCCATGATAGTGAAAGGAACTGATGGATAATCAATCGCTGTTCTTCAATTTCTTATCTGAAATTGAAAGAGGCAGTCGTTCCTGGTATCTTTTTACTTCTGTTTTTCCAAAAATCGTTAATCAAATGCAATTTCATTTTAAGTATGTTACAGTGCACATAGGAGCGCCAAACTTATGGATGTCCACCCCATATCTCTTCTTACTGGACTCTGTTATATATTGCCAAAATCACTACCTATAATATGTTTGGTAAATATCTTAATTCTTCAGTAAAACTGATTGATGGATTAGTGATGACACTTTGCAAATTCTTTTTCTAATGCTAATGTTTGCGGTTTATGGGCCTCGCGGGGTTCTTTTACTGGAATTTTTCCCGAACGCAAATAAATCGGCGACTGAACTCCCAGATTGAGCCCAACCCGTTATCGGGCATGGTCTTTATTACACATTCACAACCGCTAAGAACTTATAATACCCACAATCTAGAAGTAGTTGTAGAAAGACGCCCTGTAATCCAGATTCTTTTCGTCTGTCCGAACAATGAAAAGATTCGAAGACCATTCGCAGAATCCTAAGAGATTAACAATACCAATGGTCGAAACATGTTCAAACAGGTCTGTCGGGGAATTTCTTCGTGTCACAGTGGTAGAAAATTGTCTTGATATGCAAGAATGTAGACACGTAAGCAGGTTCAGTGATCTTTCATAAATAGCATTCGTAGTGGTTCTAACTATAGTCTCTAGATTGTACGCGAATATGATTATTCCTCACCACCCGAGATAGTGAGAAGAACTGATAGATAACCCATCGCCGTTCTTAGGATCTGGAATAAAACGATCAGTGGCTCTTCAGATATCTCTATTGCTGTTTCGTCAACAATCGCTAATGTGTTTAAGTTTTTATTTTAATATCGTGTCGTGGACTACAGAGGTGGGAACTTACACTGCTAAACATTTCCATGGAGAAGATACCAAATTTGCCTGCTTTCAAATAAATTGGTCGGGTGGATCTTAATATGATGAATAAAAGGCACTTTGCGTCTGACGGCGCGACGTTGTACCATCTGGATTCATAAGCAGCGATGCCCAAACTACTGCTCTGAAACATGTTTCTTTAAGGCAGAGTTTGCTTAACTAGTCGTAGTTTTTAATTCAAAAGAGAAATTGATTGCGTATGCGTTGTCTGACTACACTTAAATCTGAATTAATAGCCGGTCAACGCTCATGCAATTTTATTTAATCATATAGTCTATTGCATTCAATATATTAGTTAGTAAAATACAGTTTAAATATACTTACTTCAACAAGAAGTAATTCGCCCACGTAACAATAAACATACATGTGCACTATAATAAACATTACGAAAAGCACGAAAAATAACATTTGAAACGATAATAAACCGTTCTCGTCTTTGAGTATCACCTGAAATCTCAAATCAATATGTGTAATTAACATCTCTTTATTGATCACTCTAGGAAACTTACATTGAAAAATAAGAATCCCTGGAAACATATTTCAATGGTGCTGAGCAGCATTTGCAAGAACAATAGAACGTTGAAACATTCTCCGATTTCGATACCCGTCCTTCAATGAAAAATCACAATCATCACTAAGTTTAGATCAAGAACTATATTTCCTAAATTTATTGTCATTTAGGTAGAGGAAGAATGAACTGACCGTTCGACACCGGTAATGAATTGAGTCACTACGATTACAGAAATCCGACGAATGTGTATTTAATAGATTTACGTAATCATATAATTCCAATTTATGATACTAAACGAAAATAGTTTCTTTTCATCTTTTCAGTATTCTGTCCAATGTTCTCTTTAATTCTCCCATCAATGATCTCCTTCAATGAAAAGTAACTTCAAATTCAAAAGTTCAAGTAAAAAGAATTTTAAAGTTGCAAGTAACGTTGAACAATCAATTAATTCTCTAATAGACAATAGAGTTTCCTTGTTCACCAGTTCAGATGTTCGTGTCTCTTGACGATCCAAGTCAGCTCCTCCTGAATGTCGCTAGATTTTTTTATTCCGGCCGCCTCGTCCATCAAGTTCTCTAATTTTCTATTCAGATTTTGGAACTGTCCGCAGGTGTGCAACACTAGCATAGCTATGAAAATGTCTACGCCGGTGTACGGGATGGTTGCGCAGTAGGCAGCGAACACTTGAGCCACGTTCGCTATTATCCTGAACGAGGTCTGTCTCATATCGAAAGGATAGTATCCTGGATAAATGACTAAATGGTCCTGGCGCTCCTTGGTTACGTCAGTTCTGGCAATCGTGAACGTCCGGATGCTGATATAGGCGGTCACCATGCACTGAGTCAAAATAGTACACCAGACGGATAAAGATTTCGAGAGTTTCGCGCTGTTCATCATCGTTGTCCTCTCTTCCTCGGTCTTCGGAGCGTACCAGTCGTCGTAAAACGATTTAATCAATGGCTTGAGATCTTCGAACATAAATTGAAGTCGTTGGTATTCGAGAAATCAAGGTGAACAATTGTAATTAATTATACTTTGTTTTATGAAAGAAGGGCCCTTGTCACGTTATGAGATAGAGTATGGTGAGCAATAATTTTTATCTCAAAAAATATTAATCATATACGGTTCTTTAGATTAATCAGAAGAAATTGACCTTCTTAAAGAAATTACAGTGTCAGTTTTAACATTATTACTGAACAACATCATGATAAATAAATTTTTATTTATTGTATTGATGGTTTTCTATGTAGAAAGAACGTAATATATGTCGTAACGTTTAATTAATACTTCTTTAACGATCTCTACCATGTATAGGAAGACTAGAATTACCCTCCACCCTTACAATAATTCTTTAAACATTCTTCTGACTGACTAACATTGGCGACCTTTATTTATAAATAGGTCAGCCTCGACAGCAGAGAGCTCAGTTTGTCGTGAGCTCTTGAACTGTGAGGACTGGGGAGGATCAGTAGACACTCCTGAAATCGTCTGGACCTCTCTGGCCATCAGTGGCCTACTCCTAGCTCCACTCTTGAACACTAGTAGCCACTACTGACCATCACTGTCCACTACTGACCATTACCGTCCGGTTGAGATCAATGCAGATCCATGATGCCCATTAGCTGAGTGCAAACCAGTGATCCTCAACCCAACCTGAGCCATGTACCGATTGCAAGCAGCAATCGGTGAGTCGCATGCTATTTTTGTTTCACTCCGGTCACTCATTATGTCGTAGGACGAATGGTCCGTAACGACACCGGTGACCGGTGGTACTATTTTAGTAGTTTTTGATTTTGTGAGTGCAGTGATCTCAGATATGCCTCGCGAGGCATACCCGAGAGTAGTAGGATTTTTTGGTTTATTTGTTAGATAGGACAGGGCCTTCTTGTACGTCGCGTTTAACGTTAACTGTAAATACTAGCAACAATGCTTTGATTTTCTATTATATTACGAGCTAAGTAACTTTATTTTGTGCTTTCATATAGAAATATAATACAACCTTTAAGATTTCATTTAGAAAATATGACCGAGAACTTAGCGGTACATTGATTGTATCAATTAGGTTCAGTCTAGTTTTCGATTTTTAAAGTTCGATTAAGGTCCAATTGATTACGATAATTAATTATTCGCGTTAAAGTTCATTCACTCGCTGAACATCGTAGTACATATCGTACAAGAAAACATTTCGCGACGGGTAGATCTCCGAGTCGAAGCCACTACTTTGTAATACGTTCTTTTGATATTAAAAACAGTTGCTTCGACAAAGGGATCACCTGAGGATTTTTAAAAATATGTTATAAATTTAAAATAGATACATTCTTACTGAAATTTTACTTAAAATCACATTTCTCATTAAATTATAATTTCTCTTATCCTTTTTGTAAACATTATAACATATATATATATAATAGTACACTTTTTCTATTTAAAGTTAGAGAATTAAATTCTTAATTTTGAGTCAATTATAGTCACTATTGAGAACCAAAGAACATTAGTCCGTTAGAAAAACCAGAAACTAACATCATTTTATAGCTAGGATTTTCAGGATATTGTTTCCATGTTCGTTGCTCGATCTCTCTCACGTGCCCAGGTGCTACTTGGGAGAGTGAGAGCAATGGACATGATGAAACTGTTATTATTTAAACAGGTGAGCGATGGACAATGGCTAACGTATCGTGCCCGACGTATTATCCACTTGTGTGTGTGTGTGTGGTTAGGAAGTGGAAATGCGTCGGACTTTATAATATCATAAATACTCTTTATGCGTGTATATTCCAGTTACTGAAAATGAAATAAATAAATTGTTTGTGGAATATATACACACTTTTCCTTATTACTTTACTCAGTAGAATAAAAATATTAGAATACTTTGATCGTCCATGCGTTACCAAATGACATAAAGAACAGTAGAATTATATTAATTTCAATGAATCGTTCGTGCCAAGTAAAATATTTTCTCAAAGATCGTTAGCCATTGCCTGTCGATTTCAGGAATTGATAAACTAGAGTATGAATGTGGTTCTCGGCGAACGTCCCGGGACGTTCTCTCTATGCGTTAGGTTCTTTCGCACCCGGGTGCATCAGAGATAATCCTGGAATGATGTGTGTTTGTGAGAATGAGTCTTTTGCCCCTTTTTTAAATATAGCTGTAGGTAGGCAGGTAGTATACTCTCTGGAATGAATGTTAGATTTAAGTAGGCAGGGGCCGGTGCTGGCCGTCGTTTCTGCACGATGGTCAGTTACCGGGGAACTTGAAAAATCGGTTCTAAGTTGATAGCAAAACGGAGTATGCCGATTGCTGATCAGCCTTGACCTCGACTTTTTTTAGTTCCACTTAAATGCCGCGGTCGCGATCGGTATCAGGCGCAATTAGGCGAAACGTTCGAAATTGCTCGATTGCATTGTCGAATGTTCGATGGCTGTTCCCGAGCCATTGGTCATTCGCTATCGAGCAAGCTCAGGGTTTCAAAAATGGCGGGCTACCGAAGAAACGAAGAGTAGTATAATCTAATTCAGAATAAACTCAAGAAAGAAGACAGCCGAGAGATGAATATTATTAAGAGCGTTAAATATAAGTGCGTTAACAATAAGTGCGATAAAAATAAGTGTGTTAGAGATAAGATTTAGATTTAGAACGGAAGGTCGGTGGAATTGAACTTTCCACCCACCTCCCAGGGTCTCCTCGCAGCAACCTCCACGTGGTGAGACCTGGAAACTAGCAGCATCGCCGATAGAGTAGTTCCTATTGAGGATGGTGCTAGGCTAATCGGCTGCGAAATTGTTTGATCCATGTAAGAATATGCCGAGTAATTATTCCCTAGTTCAATTCACACGGCTGTGAATGCTTAACAATTTTGTTAGAAATATTATAGTTTAAATGGAAATGTACGTTAAACTTCTATTTCGTTTGTCAAAATTTCAATTTCTAAAATAAAAATGTTTGCTATATATAATTCATTGAACAATTTTCTACAACTGTATAATTAGTCAAAATAATTTCTTACATAAATTTTATAGGTGTAATTTATATAGTACATATGTTTATAAAAATATTTACGTTTGTGAATTATGAAAAGCTGCATTGCTCTAAACTTTTATTGAATAAATGTATAAGTTTCCTTTCACTTTTAGCGTAAAACTGCCTGAAATCGTCGACGACTCGCTACCTGTCATTCATTAGGTGCAATGTGAGCTTCCTGTGTTTGCTATTAAACATCGAAACAGTGTCTCGTTGCCACAAAAACAAATGGCCAAAAGGCCACTGGCAAAAGGGTATTAATTGGTCAAAGTATGGGTAGTGGGATTCAGTTCACGCAGACAAATCGCCATCGATTAGTCGACGACACGATAAAAAATCAGGTTACCTCTAAAGGCACTTCTTTCATAAATCAGAGTATAATTCTTATGTTGTATATTGCGTAATTGATTGTGTTCTTGTAAAAATATCAGAGAATTGTTTCAGATTTCTAATGCTCCGTATACTTAACAGGTAATTAGTATATGAAGTAGCTAATAACTTGTTCAATAATAACTATGATAAAACTATAACTTATTAGTTAATACCTATAAACTTGCGTTGCATAGAAACTAAGAAGTTTATTTAAGAAATTTATAATATGGGAATTTAAACAACTGTAGCACCCTGGTTCTTTTAAAAGAAAACTGTTTATGATTTCATATTTTAGTCTTACCTTCTCGATAGTACCACACGATGAGTACTTTCATGGCAGCATTGTACGTTGGAATATTAGCCAAAGTCAACGTCTGCGTGATCTGTCCGAGGTCCCCGTCCAACATGAACAAATTTATACTTTGCCATATGGTGGTAAACATAAGAATGCAGAAGACAGACACGAAAGCTCGGAAATCCGCCATACGATCCTGTTGCACCATCGGTTCCGGCCAGATACCAATTATATGTAGATTCAAACGATTCCATCCGATCGCTTCTCTCAAATCTATGACAATATCACAATTGTAAGGAGATTGATAGTTCATTCACGGAAATGTTAAAATAACAGGTTCGTAATTTCTGAGATGAATTAAAAGAATTTCAATTCGTATATCTTTGTAGAACTTTCTTATTATCATTGCGGCGAGGGGTAAATCTAGCTATAACCATTTTCGTTAAAGGAAAATTTTGTTCAATTTCAGGAATAATTAAACAATAATGTACTCTAGGAACATTTGAAAAATACTTTTCAAACTTTATTCGGTACATTCACTGTTTGTAATACAGCACTTCCACGATGAGAGAAATAAGAACGTCCCAGCAATAAAGTATTCACGAACGAAAGTGTGGTTGAACCTACGACGTGATAGATACTTTTACCAATTCCTTTAAAAATTGCAATGTTATTTAAACATTTTTCTAATTTTTCTATTTACAAGGCTGGAGATTCTATTTTGGGGAAGAGGAATGGTACCTTGTTCGAAATCCATTGCCACCACTCGCGTATAGACCACAAGACGAAGTGAGTACTCGCTAAATTCCCTCTGCTCTCTGGTTGGTAGGACGCATGCTCGTTTGCCGTGAGAAAGTTAGTTTCTACCCCTGCAAGAAATTGCAAGAAAGTCGCGCGGAAGAAGGCCGCGGACGTAGTTTCGTAGTTTTCTTCTTTCGTGATGACAAAAACAGAATTGCTCCTTCTTCATAACTTTGTCTGTCGACGTCCTCACCCTCGTTGTTTATTTAAGCCACCACTGCAGACTAAAACAAAATTTTCTTTCTATGGTTTTCGTAATTGACAGATGTACCTCGTAGTGTCACTTTAATGAAACACGTTACGAATTCCTGTCTGTAGAACCTCGAAATGAAAAAGACAACTCGTGCAGCAAGCATTTCAATTCTCTTAATTGAACAGGTAGTAATTAATAATACAATATCTTTATCGACTATCTAGCAGCAATTAAAGTAAAAAAAAATTTATGTACCGTGTTTCTATATTAAAACTTTGATCTACTGTTATTCAATCTTTTATTGCAATGAATTAAAAATGTTGAAGCACTGTGTACGGTTTAGAAGTGATAGTGAACTGTTTTCTCATGTGAAATATTATTCCTGCGAATAATAATTAACTGTACTAATTACAGATGTATACCTGATGCAAACACTTTGTCTCAAATTCAACTGATACCGAATTTACCTGTTGTCAAACAAAGTGGTCTCGTGGAACTTAGCATGATGAATAATAGTCACCTGGCTTCTGATGACGTGACATTGTACCAGTTGGATTCGTGAAGCTGTAATCACTGTGTCGGTTATGTGGTTCAACCCGAAAAACCTGAAGAATTCGCGGGTGACCGCGGCACTGATGTAGACCGTCGGATGCACATAATTCTCGTGGATATCGGCCGGCAGCGCGCTGCTGATATTCAATAACATCCTGTGCGTCGATAGGAAACGATCGAAGTATCGTGGGGTGTGCGGCAAACACGCATTTCCGGTATCACTGACACGTGGCTCGTATGCCACCGATAACACTACCGATCCATTGCTCCTCCCTTTCTTTCGCCTCCGCCCCAAAACGCGTCATTCCTCTTAAAAACCCGCCATTCACGTTGAAACTTTGAGCCTCTTTCACTTTCTTCGAGTGCAACACGCATCATGAAATCTTGAAAGAAACAGTTGCAAGAGAATGTTTGCAACATGCTCAGAGAAAATGAAACCAAAGTAAGAAAACGTACTTCTCATTGCTCAATTAAATTATCTACTCATTTGATTATAATCATTACAGCAAACTTTACGAAATATATTTCTTCATTAAAACTTTGACGATCATTAATAATCTAGAGTACAAACGTAAAACAGAGACAGAATAGAATAGAACAAAGAACAAAGGAGAAGAAAATAAGTAAGAAAGTGGAGATGGAATTCCAAGTTGGATTAAAAATAATGTAACGACTTTTCACAGAAATTTAGAGACATTAATGTTTCAGATAGGGCATACACGCGTTCGCATAATTGATCGTGCGAGGACTAACATGAAGATGAAGGGTCCGGTGACAGTGTGACATCGTTCTATCTATTGTATATAGTCGTAATTGAGGGTTCGAGAATGCAGAAATTAAATATTCATCAGCGAAGGGAGATCGCGTGTCCTCGCACTCGTACAGGAAAAAAAACGAAAGAAAAATGATATTCTCGAGCTACTGAATGCATACTCGATGCACGGATCACGCGAGCAACAAGGAGGCTCGTTAATATTTCATACTTTTATTACTTCGTCACCAATTTTCGATCTTTTTA